GTTTGGTGTTTCCTTAAAAAAGTTGAACATAGAAATTCCATATGACCGAACTATTCCACTGCTTGGAATATACCCCCAAAAAATTAGAACTGAGGTGCAGAGATTTGTGCACCAATGTTCATAGCAGTGTTATTCACCATTGCAAGAGCATGGAATCAGCCCAAATGTCCAACCACAATCAAATGGATTGAGAAATTATGGTACATTCACACAATGGAATACTATGCAGCATGCAGGAGCAATGATTTTGAAAATCACTACTTGACTTGGGAGAGACTGGAGAGCATTATGCTAAGTGAACTAAGTCAGTGCCATAAAGACAAATACTGTATGTGGTGTTGTTGTGTACCCACAGCTGACCTCCTAGCAGGTTTTCAAAGGCAGTTAATTGCATGGGAGTTGACTGCCCATCCTTCTCCCACAGAGCAGCTTGTAGCCTCGAACAGCATGTCTTTAGGAGTGTAGCGCAGCTTCTCTTCACTAGGCCACCAGAGCACCTAATTATTGTAGAAATAGACAAATAACAAGTAAAATAAATATTAAGATCCAAAGGGGAGAGAGTGAGAGCAGAGAGGTGAGGATGGGGAGTGGGTGGGTGTCAATCATAGGGTCCACAATTTGATAGGTGGAGGGAGGAGTGGGTAAAGGAAACAGGGAAGATCCAGTGTTAAAATCAATGTATACAAACTTTGTAAGTAAACCAGTTGTTGTTGTTGTTGCTGTTGTTGTTGTTAAGTACCATCGAGTCAGAGGCAACTCATAGCGACCCAATGAATGAAAGACCTGGACATCTGTATAACTTTCGTCCTTTCTCCAGGTTCATAGGTTTTCCAGAGTCAAGCTATTTTGGAAGTGGATGCCACTTCCAACCTTGTTTCAATCGAGGAGCTCCACCAAACACTGTCCACCATGGGTAACCATTCTTGCATTTGACTCATCAGTGTCAGTGTTCAGCTTCACAACAACCATGAGTTATCTCTGCACAGCAAGTGGACATACTAGGGTTACACGACCTAGAAGAATGTTTCACCCAAAACAATTAAAGGCCAGCTTGAAGGCTGCAGAGTAGAGTCACCCACCTTTGGCTTGGGAGCATGGCTTTCTGTGCACTAGGCCAACTGATCTCTCTCTATGCAAGTAAACCAGTATAAAAGAAAAAAAAAGTTATTTAAAAAAAGAAAAGGGGGATGGGGAAGAAGAAACAGAAAAAAGGGGAAAAAAAGCTGAGTTCTGGTGGCAGATCCTAATTTATGCTATGACCTGAGTAGAGGCCCTCACTTCCGTGTTCCAGTCTTCTCACTGGGAGAAGGAGGACAATATACATACTACACATGAATCTTCTGAGAATCAAAGTAGACAATGGACATGAAAGTGTCGTGTAATAAAAGATGCTATTCAAAAGTAAGGTAATGGCATTATTGCTAGCAAGGTCAGATTTTCTTGGTTAAGAAAAATGAGTCCAAGAATCTTTAAACCTTCCCCTTTCTTGGAGCTTGTCCCAGTTTACAGTTTCAGCTTCAGGGACTACAAGAATAACAAGGGTAGCTCTGGTGGCCTAGTGGTAAGAAGCTATGCTGCAATCCCAAGGGCATGCAGTTCAAATCCACCAACTGCTCTGTGGGAAAAGTCATTTTCTCCTGTGTGATTTATTGGCTCTAAAATCCCACTAGACATGGTCAGCTTTGGGTTGGTTCCAACTCAATGGCACACAAGAACAGGGTAAGATTAGTATCAATCACACAAAGGAGGTTAGGCTTTTCCTCAGGCTGAGTGTGTGCAGTAAATTATTTGATATGGCTCTCCTAGCCATAGCTTTGCAATGCCCACCAAAGAGGATAAAGCAAATGAGTGCCTGTGACCCATCAAAGGGATTGGATAATTTGTTAATAGTGTGATAAGGTGCATAGTACATTTATGGGGGTGAGATCATGCATATAAGATGTGTGGAACTCTAACACGGGGATGGATTGGTCCGTTTTCTCCAATCCATTAGGCTCACAATGATCCATCCCAGGAGAAGAAAGGGAGATCTCACAAGCACTGGGAAGAAGAGATAAGAGGAGGATGTGTCCTTTAGACCTGGGACCCTTGCACCTTGTCAACCCACGAGAGAGAGAGAGAGAGAGAGAGAGAGAGAGAGAGAGAGAGAGAGCTGTAACCTTAGAGAGTTCAAGAAACATTTGGCAAAGAACCAGGAGACTGGCAAGACTGCATGGTGGGCTTCCACAGAGTGAGAAGAAAGCTGAGTGTCCTTGAGCAGCAGGCTTGCTGACTGAACAGAATGCCTCCAAGCACTTGACATCCGAGCTAGAAGAGCTTTGTAATGTTTGCTGAGCTGGACAGATGTCAGGTCAGGCCCAAGCCAGAGAGGCCTGCCTGCAGGCATAGCTGAGAAGTGGCTGTCCTGACCATTTCTGAATCAGAATTGTTCCAGTGGCTTCCCTAATAAAGCCCATAATTGTGCACTGAGTCTGAATTCTGTGTGGCATTGCAACCAATTCTCAAACCCAGAAGAAAAACAGAAAATGACTGGGAGAGATAGTTGATATCAGAATAGATTTTAAAAAGAGAGAGAGTAAAGGCATGACTGACTTTCATTTGATGGGACTCTTGGGTGGTCGATGCTGATAGCCTTCCCCTTTGTGAAGTTAGAGGAAGTCACCATTCCATCTATACAATGGGTTTAAAGTAAAACCCAGAACCACTCCAACCAGACTACTGGTAAACCAGACTTCAAAGACTAGAGCCAGAGGGGCCCAGCTCATATCTGAGTTTCTGCTTTCCTTTAAGGCCAGAAGACTCCTCCACAGAGTGAACTCAAAGGACGCAGGTCCTACTTTAAATCAGCTGGAGGCAATTATAATAAGAATGGCCATCTGTGTTCCTCTCCACAGTCAATTCCACTCTTCAAATGTTGCACCCACCAATTCCAAGCTGATGACATTATCATTCCCATTCAGTGAGAAGACTCTGGAACAAGGAAGTGTTTCTGTCCTAACAGTACTATCTTCATCCCCCAAGGCAGCTCCTCCACCCTCCCCTTCAAAGTAGCATTGAATTTGCTCACTGATCTTCTTGCAGCTGAAAGCAAGTCTAGCAAAGAACCAAAGTTAGATTCTATTTGTCACTGTAAACCCTTTCACCGACTTGCTCATAGTATGTCCTTGAAGTTGGGTTCCTTTTTTTTTCTTCTTGGTGGGGGATTGCTAGGAACCAAACTCTCCTATCTACTCTGGTATTTCCTGGGTGCCTAACTCCCATCTCTCTCTATGTAAGCAGGGATCCCTCACATCTGGGACCCCATCACCAGCACCTCTGTGGTGTGCCCATCCCAAACGACTCAAGAAAATCAGGCTGACTGGTCACCCAAAATCCTGCTATCTGCCCACACCAGGGGGCGCTCCGGCCACCCCCCAAACTGTGGCGTGTTTGGGCTTTTTCGTTGGGGTGTTTAGGGTTTTTTGTGATGCTTTTTGGTGGTGGGTTGGGTTTTTGTTGTTTTGCTGTTTTGTTTTGTTTTTTTAGCAGAGCTACACAGCTAAGGTTAGAGTGTGGCTGTGCAAAGAGGGAGCTCAGACGGGGCCCCAACTCTCCTGAAATGAAGAGGAAGAACCTGGAGGAGGAGGGAATCCAAAAAGGTGCAGCTCCTGGCCCAGTTAGAATGGTTCCGTAATCCCCACCCAATGAAGAAAGAAGACTTAATCCCACAAAGTTGGGCTGTAAGGGAAGCAGGGAGGTGAGTAAAAGAGATGTGTTCTCCATGCAAAGTCAAGACAGTGCAAAGACACCAGGGTAGGTGAAACCTGAAAAGAAATGTGCCCAGCTCAGATGAGACATGAGAAGGGACAAAAACAGAAATAAATGACCTTTCTCTCTTAGAAAAGCTTACCCCTTTCTTCCCCTTCCTTCCTGCCTGAAAAGCACTGATACAATAGACAGTAACTCAATTAGTTGGGGGAGGAGGGGAGATATAAGGGTGCGTGGGTAGAGGGCATGGTTGGCTTCAGAATAACTGGGGTTCTTCATTCAGCTGAGGCTGTAGAGCTGGGTTGGGTTGGGTTAATATTAACTGAAAGATTTGACGCTGCATTTTGCCCAGCCCCAGAGACCCTCGTTAGACCTGGTATATAAGTACCTCATGATTACCTGTTCCTGCAACTGTCAGTTCCTCAAACCATCACCGCCAATAAAAAGGATCTCATCCTGAGTATAGGGACAGACTTAAGGAATGATGCACATACATCTGCCAGTTGGGGCATGGGAGCCAGAGTAAACTCATCCATATCCTATCTTCACCATCAGAAACATCCTGGGGGCCACGCCTCGAAGCATCTCAGATGTGCTTCCCTGGCCCTCCTCCAATGATGAAAACACAGAACATCCTTGGCCTAGGGCCCATATAACCTTTTCCCTCTTTACCACATCCAGAGCAAAACTCATCTCTTTCTAGAACCTGCTTAAATTCTTTCCCCCTTCTAGTGGCCCCAGCCCAGGGGAGCTCTGGTGATCCACCCCATGGGGAGGTACACTGCCAGTTCAAAAATGGCACCTTTCTGGCAGTTCAAATTCACCAGCTGATAAGCAATCTCTTCCCTTGCTGTTACAGCCTCTGAAAAATTGAAGTTCTCTATAGTTTCAACTTGAAAACAACACAAAACGGGAAATCTCAGTTTGAGGGGCCCCAAGCCCCAGGGCAGTATACCGAGGCACTATTTCCTTCTCTAAACTTGCCCTGGCATCCTCTCTGCTAGAGGCCATGTAAGCTTTCCCGTAAGATTGCTTCATGTAGAGAGGGTTTCTTTTTCTAAGTCATCCTGTGAGGCACAGCTTAGTTAGGGTGTGGCTAGACCATTCTGTGGAATCTCCCACCATTCTTCTGCCTTGGAATCACTCCTAGATGTTGACTGAGTAAACTTTCTGACTGGCACCAGGCAGAAGAGGTAAGCAGAAATAATTAGAAAGAAGGCCAGGACACAGGTGTAGATCAGTCCATAAAATACATATATTTATTGTACAATTATCCACCAATGGATTGGATTTGACTCATACAGGTCCCCTAAAGGGTGTCTCTGCCCTTCCACATTATTTTCAGCACTTGAGAGCTTCATTGTAGACCATAGCCAAGGCCCCCAGGAAAGTGACATATTCCTGGAAGTTCACCTCCTGATCCTTATTCCGGTCCAGGTCATCCATCAGCTTTGCAATTTCAGCATCCTGCAGCTTCTAATGTATCAGAATGGGAAATCCAGCCTCAATAATGGTAAGAACCTTGGATCTTCCTCTCTCTTCCCACTGCCTCTGGTCTGGGGCACTTCCTCCAGCCCTTCTTCCCCATCTACTCTCTCTCATACAAGTGGCTCTATACTTGGTGTTTTCTTGGCATGGCTTTGGGTATACTTCTCTTGGGGCCTGCTCTCCACTCAGGGACCATGAATATCAGCCTGAGAGTGTCCCCTACCCCCTCAGGGAAGTGAGTTCACTGATTAGAAAGGGACAAGGACCTCAAAATGTGGACAAATGTGAATCAGATGCACATGACCCTCCCTGTCTCCTAACTCTGTTTGTGAAGGGCAAGCAGGATGTCTGGGGAGGAGGTCCACTCACTGAGCCAATGGTCAACTCCTTCTGGATCAGCTCCTTCAGCTCCTTCTTGCTCAGGCTGTTCTTGTCACCCTCTTTGCCGGAGTATTTGTGGAAGATGCACACAAGGAGGCCAATAGCCTGGTCCAGAGGACATGCCATCGCTGAGGGCTAGGCTGGGAGCTGGGGACAGAGAGGCTGGTCAGCGCCCAGAGAGCCAGTCCCTGGACAACAGGGAAGTCTTATTCATCCACACAGCTCAGGTGTTCTATCCCCAGGACACAACCAGCTCCCTTTGACCATTCTGCCTGAGCCACTGAGGCAGGAAGCAGCCCAGGGACTGACGGGGAGTTAGGAGGTGGATTCTGGGGCCCAGAGATCAGTGTCCTGAGGGGCTTCAGGAGAAGCAAGTCCAGGATTTCAAGCCCCTTGATGCAAAAGTGAGGCCTATCCTGGGGAGGGGTCCAGAGGTGATGTCCAGGGGAAGCTGGGGAGTATGGCCGAGGAAGGGGTAGCAGAATCTGCACACACACAGCTTCAGGGAACTACACTGACACACCCTCAGGCACATCTTCCCCTGTGTCTGAAGGGCACACTCGGGGGAGCCGCCCCATCCCCCGATGTCTTTCCACTGAGCCAGATCTGTGACCCGCTCACTTTGTGCCCCAGCCCGGAGTGCAGCCCACCGAGCTCGCTTGGCTCAGGCTGGGGAAGGGCAGGAGGGGAGGTGGGGTGAGCTCTCACCGTGAGGATGTGGATGCAGGGAAGTCCGCAGGGAGGTGACCAGGCGGGCCGGCCGTGGGTGCAGCGGCCTTATAGCGGCCTCTGTCCCAGAGCCGGCCCGCCCCTAGCCCGCCCCGCGCGCAGAGGACACAGACACCACACCCAGCGCGCCCGAACTTTTCCACGCCTCCTGCCCGGGGTGGGGGTGGGGGGGCGCTTCGAGGCTGGAGACGAATGGTGGCGCTTAGTGGACGGATAGGGACAGTTATGAGGACAGTGATTTAGGATTTTGCTTGATGGCCCTCGCTGAGTTTGCAGAGGAGACACAGGACCGGGTGGAGCAGGGCGCTGCAGGCTCGAGGTGCTTTCTCCCCTGCTGCCCCGTGCCAGAGCATGGGTGTGATCCGAACTCGTGGCCTCAGTGTGTGGGGAGGGGAGTAGGAGCGGAAAAGGCTGCCCTCACAGGACGTGTTCACAGTCAGCCCTCCATGAGGGAGAGGGGGGCAGCCAGTGCTCCACAGGATAGTTTAAAGGCTTTTTAAAGGCACTCACGCTCCATGGAAAATTTCTACCGCTCCCCCTCCCCCCCCCCATTGGAATTCCACTCTGAAAGCCTTTGGCCCATTAATGAGCGCACACACACGCCTGAGCCCAGCACTGTAGGCACCGGTGGATATTTACCCTTGAGTTAAAGAGTTTCTCAAGATTCTCTCCTGAGAAGAGTTTGACTGACGCAGATGAGGGGAGAATAAGAAACACTAGACCCCAGAAATGATAGGGAGGGGTGTTAAGGAGGAAACAGAAAAAAGGGGGAAGAATTGGCATGGTGGCCAAGCCAGATTTCCCCTTCTAACTGGTCCCTGGAGGTGGCCTCCTGTGAGCAAAAGATGGAGTCAGACCGGCTAGTCCACAGCCGCCCCCAGGGACCACGCCCCCGCTGCCCCCTTTTCCCTCTTTGTTCAAGCATTTTCTATGCGTCTCTGCAGCCTTCCAGGAGACAAACAGAAAACTGAACCAACTTCCTTATTTGGCAGGAGGGTGAAATGAAGCTGGGTCAAGCTCAGAGAACTTGTCAAGAACAACTGTCAAGAAAAGGGGTGTGAGTGGCGCCTGTCAAGAAAAGGGGTGTGAGTGGCGCCACTTAGCTGAGCCCACTCAAGGAGAAATCCAGCCCCTCCCAGCCAAGGTGGGTAAGACACCTTCCGAATCAATCTCTACGTGCCTGGGGTGGGGGAAAAAAATCTTTATTTCTTCTGCTGGAATGAAAGGCTGAAGCAGACTCCCTAGGGTGGTAAAGTAAGGTCAAGTGCTAAAGAGGGTCTGTGAGTGCAAACCAAGGGACCCGTGTACACACGGTGACAGTGAGAGGAGAGGAAGCCCTATCATTTATTGTCCTCCAAGAAGAAGTCGTTGTAGGCCATACACAGTGTGGTCAGGAACACCGAGTACTCTTTGAAGTCAATCTCCTGGTCGCTGTTCTTATCCAGGTTCTTCATGAGATCGTCAAGGCTGCTCTCTTTCATTTTCTAGAAGGGTCCAGGTGGAAAGTCAGAAACTCCTCCCAAACCTGCCCAGCCACTGTATAGTCTCATTCATCCCCCAGGGAGGCAGCCCTGGGTTGACCCCCAGCTATCCCATAACTGCCCCCAGGAACCATACCCCAGCCACACTCTCTTGGCCACTCCTACACCAGCCCAGGACCTGGGGCCAAGCACTGCTTTGTGACCTGGCTTCCAGATGTCAGTGAATTACTTTAGGAAGACTAAGCCAGCCATGCTTCCCTTCAATGCCTTTCCCCTTTCAGAGATATCATTTAATAGACTTTATAATCATATCTAATAAAAATGGCACTGTCAGTTTGAAGACTAAGGTACACCTGATCCAAGCCCATGGGCTTCCCAGTTACTTGCTGTGCATCTGAAAATTGAACAATGAATAAGGATGACAAAAGAAGAATCGATGCCTTCGAGTTGTGGTGTTGGAGAAGAGGGTACTGAATATTTCACGGACTGCCTAAAGAGCAAGCATCTCTGTCTTGGAGGAAGTATAGCCCAGGGTGCTCTTTAGAGGCAACGATGATGAAACTCCGTCTCACGTGCTTTACACGTGTTGTCAGAAGGGACCAGTCCTTGGAAAAGGACATGACTTTGGGAAAGGTGGAGGGTCAGAGAAAGAGAGGAAGACCCTCAACAAGATAGAATGGCACTAACAATGGGCTCGAGCATATCAGAGACGGTGAGAATGGTACAGGATAGAGTAAGGTTCAGATTCTTTGCTCTTAGAATTGCTATGACACCTAACAACAATTGTTGGAGATTACCCAAGTCCTATTTATTCGATGCCCTTCTTAAAGAGTAATTGAGAATTGGCCCAGGCAAGACATTACTGCATGAGAACAGTACAATGTAGAAGCCCTCCATCTCTCTAAGCTTACAGGAGAATCCATACGGAGGCCAGACCTCTGTCTGGTCCCCTGCCTTCCCATCCACTGGGACACAGGGCCCCAGAGCAGGACAGGAAGAAAACACAGACAGGAAGATGTTGCCATCAGCCCCAGGTTTTCCACAGGAGACAGAACACTGGGACACAGAGATGGAAACAGTGTGGTGTGACGTGATCCTTATCCCCATCCTGGGCTCTTGTTATAGGCAGGCCCTCCCCTAGGTCTCAGTCCCTCTGTAATTAGCCCCTACTGGGCCCACAGCCCCTCCCACTGCCCTCATTAACTCCAGAGTGCTGAAAGCCTAGCATGAATATAGAAAGCAGAACTAGTGATACCCACACTTGCTTCTGTGGGCATAGAAGTAGGCTCAGGGGAACTCTTCTCTGAGGAGACTCACCAAGGCTTCGGATGTGGGGTGATGGGTGAATTTCAAAGGAAAAATGATGCAGAAGCCCAGCCTAGAATTCCAGCTTCCTTCTCATTAGCCAATGTCAATGAATACATAATATATCTGTAATGGATTGAATTGTGCCCTCTCAAAGTACGTTAGAATCCTAACTACTTCCCTGTGGATGTAATCCTATTTGGAAATAGGGATTTCTTTGTTAAACTCATCAGATCATACCTAAGTACAGGGGCAGGGGTGGAATCTAATCATTACTTCTATGTTATAAGAAATTATTAGACACAGAAGCAAACAGGAGAGAAACCCTGTGAGGATTACCAAAGAGTCCTGGGACCTCCAAAGCTAGTGACAAGGAAGAAAAGCTACGTGATTGAAACTCCTTTGAACTTTTGGGCTCAAGAACTGTGAGAAAATTGGACCAGGAGGCAGTCGTCAGAACAGAGCAAGGAAACACAGCATGGTTCAAAAGTGGGAAGCATGTGCGTTAAGGATGTGTCCTATCTCCATATCTTTTCAATCTATATCAGGAAGGCTGGGGTCTATGAGGAGAAGTGTGGCATCAGAATTAGAGGTAGACTCATCAACAATCTGCGTTATGCAGATGACACAACCCTGCTTGCTAAAACTGAGGAGGACCTGAAGCTCTTGCTGCAGAAGGTCAAGGACTGCAGCCTTCAATATCAATTGAAGCTCAACATCAAGAAAACAAAGATTCTCACCACTGGGCCGATTGGCAGCATCATGATAGATGGTGAAGAGATTGAGATTGTTGACAGCTTCAGTTTGCTTGGCTCTACAATCAACACACTTGGTACCAGCAGCCAGGAAATTAAAAGACTAATTACATTCGGAAAGTCTGCTATCAGAGACCTCTCCAAGTTACTGAGGAGCAACGATGTCAGTCTGGAGGATAAAGTGTGCCTGATCCAGGCCATGGTCTTTGCAATTACTTGCTATGCATCAGAGAGCTGGACAATGACTAGGGATGATAGAATGAGAGTTGATGCCTTTGAGCTGTGGTGTTGGAGAAGAGTATTGAATATACCACGGACTTGCTAAGAGAACAAACAAGTTCATCCTGGAGAGGGTGAAGCCAGGCTGCTCCTTGGAGGCAAAGATTCTGACATACTTTGGACATGTTGCAAGAAGGGATCAGTCCTTGGAGAGGGATGTCATGCTTGGGAGGGTGGAGAGACAGCGCAGGAAAGGAAGACCGTCTATGAGATGATTTATTCAGTCATTGGGGTAATAGGGATAGGTAAGTCGGAGACAATAAGATTGGTAAGGCATAGAGCAGGGTTTACGGCTGTTGTACATAGGATCACTATGAGTGGCAGGCAACTCAAAGGAAGGCACACAACAATAACAACAAACCATCAACTAAGGTATTATCTGAGTGTTGACTTTCTTAATTATAAAACTAATATCTTTGATACCTGATGGGCCCCCCTGTGTCAGCACCTCCCTCCTACTTCTCCATCTGGTTAGAATCTGTTCTGTTGCTTTCCTGCCTTGTGTTCACTAACAACCCTTGTGGCTCTGTGTCAGCGCTATCTCAGAGCTTTGGACAACCTATCAAGTCAGAGGAGACTTGAGCAGGGTCATCGCCCTTGGGTTGTGTACTACTCCACCTGCCCAGCACGGATACATTCACCCCCCCCCCCCCATGATTCCCTGTGCGTGCTCTGCCACCAACGAGCAGCCTTCTCTTACCACCTTGTTCTTCTCTAAGCCCTCATGCAGGTGAAGTCCCACCCTGCAGACCCAGCCCCACCTCCTTACTAGCTGACCTTCTCTGAACTCCTTTTGGTGAGTCCTCTCTACCTCATTCCTAGTGGAGCACAGACAGCTAGAGCTGCATGTGCCTGAGATGTCCACCCTCTCCACTTGTCTCTTTCCAAACCTTTTGACTTGAAAATCAAAACCCTGAGGGCAGGGATGGGCATGCCTTTGCATGAGGTCTCTAAAGAGGCAGAAGCCCCGCCTCCCACCTCACAGCCACAGGCTGCTGGCCATGGGATTGGTATTTCCTCTTTTCTGCTCTCCCTTCCCTCAGGCTGCCACAGGAAGCACCCAGACTTTGAAATGAGAATGAAAGGAGAGTCACTTACCTCAGCAAGACATAGCTCATTCTTAATCAGCTCCTTTAGTTCCTTCCTACTCAGGGTCAGTTTGCTGCCCTCTCTCCCAGAATATTTGTGGAAAGTGGTGACCATGGTGGTCAGGGCTTTCTCGAGAGGAGTCTCCATCACAGTTTGCAGCTCTGGAGGATGAAAGAAAGGTCACATCCTTCAGGAAGCCAGGCCTTGTGTTTCTGCCCACCAGGGAGAGTGTGTAGAACTGTGGCTACAAGAAGTTTCCTGAGTAATGCCAGCGGAGTGGAGGTGGGTGCAAGGCCCTCCCTTAAAGGACCAGAGGCTGGAGCCCATGGTGAGACCAAGGTACATCAGCCAGTGCACTCAACTGTGTCAGAACACACGATGGCGAAACCAAGGCAAACTCTGAAGCAGCCAGAGCCATATGGCTGGCTAACCACTAAAGTTGACTGTGGATTTTTCTGTGTAGGATATACTTGTGGAGGTGAAAATTTAAAAAAAAAAAAACAAACCAGAGAGTGGGGAACAGAGGCAGAAGAATGACGCAGTGACCTCCCTCAAAAGAATTTGATGGAAAAGAAAATGATGGAGCACATAAAAGGTCAGGATTTCTGCCCGATGAAGAGTGGACACTGGTTTCCAGACAGATCCCTCGTGTTTGTTATCCACCTTTGTCCCAGTGTCTGAATGCCTTGATATTAGGGTGTGTCCCATTATAGAAGTGGAAGGCCAGAAAGAGAGTCCAGGGGCTGGAACTGGGATGGGAAGATAAGGCCTTAGCAAGAAGCAGGGGAGAGGCAACTGGACTTGTTCAGCTGGTTTCCAATCTCAGGCCCAGAATCTGCACATGTGGACTGGCCAAGAGGCCTGGGGAGTGGGCTTAAGACATCTCCCGGATCATTCTGAGACTTCTAACCAGAGATTAGACATAAATGAGGCCCTCGGTTCCTCCAGCTCAGTCACTCCCACCCCAGGGAAGAGACAGCCTGAGTTCCTGTGACTCAGACTCAAAAAGCCACTTCCTCCTCGGGGAGAAAGGAGACAACACCCAAAGAATTTGGGGGCTGCAGGTAAGTGCTGCGGAGGATTTGAGCAAGAAGACAACACTGCCAGCCAGATCCTACCTGCAGCTCTTGACCTGGACCATCATTTACCCCCCTCCCCCCGAAACGTGTGCTTCTCCTGCCTTAGGGAGACTCGGCCAGAGCAGGAGGCTTAGAGCATGTGCAGGAGCATTCCGGCGGATCTGATCCCTAGTTCCATCCCCAGAGCATTTCTCAGGAAAGGTCTGATAACCTCCGTTCCACATACTCAGTCCATTCCTCTCTTAGCCTCATCAGGCCAGACCTCCCTTTGTGGAAGATCACAAGGCTTATCACCTCTGCCTTCATAACCCAGCTTATCCACCTGATGAACCAGAAGATGAGAAAATGAGGACTCACCAAAGGAAGGAGGGAGCCCAGAGAGTCCCAGCCACAGAAGCAAGCTCCCTCCCACTGCTCTTTACCTTTATTCCCTTGCTTCTGTCCCCAGGAAACCAGGGACAAGCAAGGGCCAATAGGAAGAGGGTCAGGGCCCAAAGGAGAACCTGAGGTCACAGCCTCCAGGGATGGAGGTGAGGAGAAACCCCCTCTGTCTTCTCATCTTCCTTGTTTATGTACAGAGAGGATGGGGCAACCTGAGTTCATCATGACACACAGATCTTTGGTCCCAGAAACATTTTCCAGCCCCAAAATTAGAACTCACAATCTGATGGGGAAACCTAGCATAAAAGATGCAAGTCAGGCTGCCAGGAAGAAAATGCAAGGTGTCTCCTCCTCATGCCCTAGACCACTTTGACCTCTGAGATACCCCTTCCCAGGCCCCTTACTCCTACCCCAAGAGCAGAGCAGGCACATCTGAAGATGGAAATCAGTGGAAAGGTAATTTTCTTGCCAAGGTCATGGTCAAGGTCATTGACTTGTGCAGAACATGAAATTTTTAAGATGCCTTAAATTAATGATTTCTTCTAAACCTCATTGATGTTCATAGGAAAGAACTGTTGGAAATTCTCGGAGTGAAAGACTGAGAAGCAAGAATTAGGGAAAGAATTGAGGAAGGATGAGACCCTAGTGATGGGATAGATCCCAGGTTTAGAACAGTGCAGATGGGCTGAGGGGAAAGCAATTCGGACATTGACTGTGACGAAATCAGGGGCTTAACAACTAGTGGTTGCCACAGCATCACCCTATTTCTCTCCATTGGCCCTCATGTACCCTCACCCTCCAGAAGGTAGGGCTAGAAGGCTGTGAAAACTTGTTGCCAAGCAACAAGAGTTTCTGAAGTAGAATGATGCAGGAGGAGGCTCAGGGGAGGACACTCCCAGGGAAGACTAGAGGAGACTGAAGTGGGAGGGGAAGGGAGAAGGAAAACGTTTTCCTGGACTAAAATTCTACCCAAACCCTGAGGGAATGTCTGAGTCACTCACTGTATCCTTCTGAACTTAAGAGAAAAACAGTGTGATGAGTGGAAGGAGGAAGAGCTTGAGAGGTCAAAGGGACAGCCTTGCCTCTGAACTGACCCCTACTCATCTCTTCTCAAGGTCTACCGTACCATGTTGGTACAGTCTTAAGATCTAACCTCAATGCTGCCCACTGCACCCTGAAGCCCACTAGCCTTTAACCTACCTTAAACAAAGCAACTTTATTCCTGATATTTTCAGGGAGGAAGGAGAACCTCAATCTGAAATTTTGTCTCAGGATAAGCATTCGCTTCTGCCCGCATCTCCCTCATTCCCATCCTAGTCAGTGTTTTCCACCCATCTTTTCCATTGTCCTTTTCTGAAGAGCACATGATTCCTAATTGGGAACAGGTTTCATCCCATGGGCCTCTGGGGCAAGGACAGTAGATTGGAGAATGCTTGTGTTCTCATGCTGCTGCAAACAGCCCTGTCTCTCTCCATATCATCCTCTCTAGTACAGCTTAGTGGCAAGGAGTTACTCTGCCAACCCAGAGGCTCACAGTTCAAATCATCCAACTACTCCGTGGGAGAAAATGGGCAATCTCCCCGCATGATTTACTGCCTCTGAAAAATCCCCTAGAGGGTCAGCTATGTGTTGGTTCCAACTCAAAGATACACAACAACACAGTGCATTGCAGCCATGGGCTGTAAAGAATTAACTCCTGGCTGTTCTGTGAAGCCACTGAACTGTAAGGGCCAGCCTGAGAATCAGCCCTCCTTCCCATCACACTGGCTCAGGGCCGACCTCCCACACACAAGCTCTAGCTTCACTACTCCCTCTCCATGACTCAACCCTTTTCCCTTTCCTCCTTTGGGTCCCCAGGCACCCAAATTCTTTTCCAGACTCCAACCAGGAGCAGATGTGACCTTCAAACTCATCCCAGTCTCAGTTAGAGGTCCTGCCTGAGGAAGGGAGAATGAGCTGTCTAAGACCCCACAGCTAGGCATTCCAAGCTTCTGGTGGCCCCTTTCCCCGCCTTCAGCCGCATCCAGAGTCAGCTCTGTTCCCTACACACACAAACACCCACACAGTCTCCGTTATCCCCACGCTCCTCTCCTGCTTTCATTAATCTGCTCCTCACAAAACTGCACCACATCCCACTACCACACCACAAGTCTCCATCTATCTTCCTGCCCTCCCCTCAGCCCCGAGAGCCGCTCAGATCAGCAACTTCAGTTTCTAAGAATCTTTATTGAATTTGCTCAGCATCATGCACAGATCTGGAGGGGCCAGGATGGGTACAACCCCTACAGCCAGCAGAGGCCCCCGAGCACATAGAAGAAGTTTTCATTTCTTCCGTGGCTGCTTATCAGGGCAGCCTTCAAAGAACTCGTTACACATCATGGCGATGCAGGACAGGAAGACACAGTACTCCTGGAAGTCCACTTCGTTGTCCTTGTTGCTGTCTAAGTTGCTCATCAGTTTCTGGAACGCAGCTTCATCAGTTCTTTTCTACGGGAGGAGAGGTTACAGGTCGAGACTAGAACCAGGTTTCCACTTCTAGCTCAGAGCCCCAGAGGCTCTCATACCCACTCCTTCAGGGTCCCCAATCTTTGGAACTCCAAACTCCAGGGATTAAACTATGGTAAGAGAAGGGTATCTTTAGATGAGGAAGAACTTGCTGAGTGCCTGGGTGCTATCTATCAGCTGAAAAACAGGGCCACAACATCCTCGCCCAAAGTTGTCTTAAGAGTCCAATTCTTTAATGTGTAGAGGGCATTGAGTTCACCTTAATGGTGGTGGAAGAATTTTGACAAGGATGGTGAAGATGGTTGCACAATCTGAAGAATGTGATCAATGTTACTGAATTATATGCAAGAAATTGTTGGATTGACTGTGTTTTGCAGTATATATGATCACTAATTTTAAAAAAGTGTTCAGAAGACTCTAATTAGGTAATGGTCACAAAAGCAATATATTAAAACAGTACAAAGTCTGACAGAAATGGAAACTGTTAGCATTTGGTCTATAGGGATATGTTGCTGTTGTTATGTACCATGGAGTTGAAATCAACACACAAGGGTTGAGTGTCTGCATGAACTGTCACAGTCATAGAAGGAATAGAAACTCAGAGACTGTCCGTTGCTGTAATGGTAACAAGACATAGTCTCAGCTGCAATCTCAGTTCCGTGCCCTGACTACCACAGGGAGTCGTCCGGTCTCTTGTAGCTTCCACTTTCCTTCCAGATAGGTTAGTTATGTAACAAGTACATAGTCTGGCCCACCTGCTCAGCAAGCTTCCAAAAGCAAGAGAGTGACAGCGTGGGAGTCATACTGTGTTTCTGCCCTCTGCCTGTTTTCTCACTTCTTCAATTATAACCAATGGTATATCGTTTCCAAGAATTTTTAGACAAACCCTTCCCCTAGCGAGACTGTCCTGGGGCATCCTCTTAGACAGCACTCACTCACCCCTAAGAAGCTGGGGAGCTCCCGGGTCAGCAGCTCCTTCAGCTCCGACTTGTTGAGCTTGAACTTGTCGCCCTCTTTGCCTGAGTACTTGTGAAAGGTGGACACCATCACATCCAGGGCCTTCTCCAGCGGCTGTGACATGGCTGCAGTCAAGATCTGGGGGAGGTGACAGTCACAAAGGCTTGTCTATCCCACTTCCAGCTGTGTCTTCACAATGTCCCACCCCACTCCCCACCCTTCAAGGACCCTTTAGTGAGACTCTGCTATCAAGATGCGGGCTGTGGGGAAAGGTGAGCTCCTCTCCTGAGGGTGGAAGTAGGTATGTGGGGCAGGAAATGTGTGCAGGGCTCAGGGCACTGGCTCTGGAGATTCAAGCCAAGTTCTCTGGGCCTCCCTCGGGTAGTGCCTCAGACAACAACCTTTTTCCACCACTCTGGTCCATTCACTCCCACAACAAGCCACAGCCACCCCGCCCTAGCCCACAACACTGGGGCTGGGCGTGGTCCCTGGAAGCTTGCCCAGGGCCCGGCAGCGGAAAAAACCAGCCTGGAGTAAGGCAGGGCAGGACAAGATGGCACACACAGGGGTTGGGGGCAAAGAGGCCTGGGATGTGCAGCTCCTTGCAAGGCTCACAGGGCACCACCAGACAGAAGCCCAGCTTGATTTTTACCTTTGTTCAGTTTAACCACACCCAAGCATGCACACATAGTATGATCAACCCAGCACAAACAAGTCAACATGCATACGCCTAGTCTCTCTCTTTCACACACACACACACACACACACACACACACACACACACACACACTCTGCAACAACAGTGCATGCAACCCTGCATCTCACTAACCCCGGGGTAGCTCAGGCCCAGCCTATTACACCCTTCTTTCTGTGGGTTTGGTTTGTGTGTTGGTTTCTTTTTCTCCCTCTTATACCCATAGGAACACACATCTCTCTCCCACCCCAGAGCCTCTGCATCAGAATTACACATCTGGATCCATTTAGCACCACTGGCCTCCACCCATTCCCCCTGCCCTGGAACCTTCACCTGACACCCCTTGCATGCCAGTGAGGCGACCACAACTCACCAGACCAAAAGACAGGAAACGCTGAGGAAAAGTCAGGGCTGGGGAAAGAGCAAAGTGGGGGAAGCCCTATGGTCTGACCTATTTATACCCTGGTCAGGCCCTGCCCATGGCAGGGGATGGGGGAAGAGTGGAGACAGCCCTCTTACTGCGGGCTGGTGTGGTAAGAGCCACAGCCCCCTCGACCAGCCCAGCCTAGAAACCGAACTTCCAGTCCTGGGCAGGCTCAGCTGGGCAGTGGGTGAGCACAGTGGGCACAGGCACCGCCTCAGGTGGGCAACACATGGTGTATAGCCCTCTGCCCCAAGTTTAGGAATCTCGTGAGAGGAGCCCATTTTGCACTTGCTTGGTTGCTAGGTACCCTCCCCCCCACAGCTTTTCTGCTAGCTGGTGGAACAACTCCCTCCTTGCCCCTCTTGATGGTACAGACAACCCCACCTTTCAGTTTCTTATAACTTGAGGAGAAGAGAAGGGCTGGAGGTCCCAAAGGGAGTTCTGCCTGATGGACGGAGATGGAAGTCACAAATGAAGAGGGGCAATGGGCTAGCCCAAAAGAGGCTCCGGGAATGGCCCAGGAATGTCTGTGGAGAACAGTGAGAGAGTGATGGTGTGGGGGGCAGTGACAGCATAGATGGCAGTGACGGTGTGGAGGGGCAGTGACGGTGTGGGGGCAGCGACAATGTGGAGGGGCAGTGATGGCGTGGGGGGGCAGTGACCATGTGGGGGACAGTGACGGTGTGGGGGACAGTGACATTGTGGAGGGGCTGTGATGGCATGGGGGACAGTGACAATGTGGGGGGCTGTGACGTCATGGGGGGACAGTGACAAAGTAGATGGGCAGTGAGTGGGGGGCAGTGACAGTGTAGATGGGCAGTGATGGCATGGGGGGCAGTGACAGTGTGGGAGGCCATGATGGTGTGGGGGACAGCGACGGCGTGAGGGGGCAGTGACCATGTGGGGGACAGTGACGGAGCAGGGGGCAGTGACTGCGTGGGGGGCAGTGACGGCATGGGGGGCAGTGATGACGTGGAGGGGCAGTGGAGGCGTGGAGTGACAGTGACGGTGTGGGGGACAGTGACGACGTGGAGGGGCAGTGGAGGGGCAGTGACGGTGTGGAGTGACAGTGACGGTGTGGAGGAGTGGGCAGTAAAACCTGGGGCACAAGGAATGATTGGAGGAAGCTAGAATTTAGGGGTAAGCTGCCAGGTTAGCAATGATGGATCCATTTTGAGGTGAAGTGAGATTGTACCAAATAGGGGAGTTTGAGGTTGAAAGCTAAGGTCCCAAGGTGGGGTGTGAGCTTAGGAACGGAGGTGACTCCGACCCGCCCGGACCCGACCCCAGGGAGACACTCTCCTCAACTATACCTTCCCCCTCCAACTCAGGCCATCTTTCAGCAGGCTGGGAGTGGTAACTGAGACACCTTAATCCTATCACTTCTGCCTTCTGGCTCCCACACCCCAAGGCAAAGAGCAAACACTCCTCCAGATGCCACACAGCCCCACCCTCCTCAGCACATCCTGTCAAGACTGAGGGAGGTCAGCTCTTGGGTCCCCCAGGAAGCTTCAGCGGTCCTCCCTCTCTCTGTGACAGCCCAAAGTGGTTTTTCCATCAAAAACTCCAGAGAGAGATCCTCTTCGTCCTCCCATCTTTGGCAGGATTGCAAGTGATCCCATCCTCCTGCTGGAACCTTGAGCCCTTTCCATTTACTGTGGGGGTCTGGAATTATCCTGGGGTCCCCTGGAAGCTCAGGGCTCCTCCCTTCAGTCTCCTTTCCTCCAGTGGAAAAGACCAGGGAGGAGCAAATAAAAATCTCTTCAGGACTCTGTGCGGAGGCCCCAGGGTGTCCTCTCAGAAGAACCAAACCAAGTCCAGCAGAAACCAGTATTTTATTAGGACTTAAGGGGCCCCATGGGCCCCTTCCCACCCCTGGTTGTAGGAACCTACACTTTGCTGGACCTTCACCTCCTTCAGAAAGACCCCTGACTCTTCCCACCCTGGCCCACAGGCCACAGGTAGGAGGAGCAAGCCTCCGTGGGCAGGATGAAGCCAGTCGTCACCCCACCATTCACTAGCTGTGCATCCTTAAAGAGGGCTCCCTCACGTCTCCGTGGCTCATAGGTAAATTGGGTTTAACATATCAGGAGTGAACCTAGGGGGATTCCAGACTGAAAGGGGTACAAGAGAGAGGGCTGGGAGGGATGTGATGGCCTGTCCAGGACCATCTCAGGGGCAGAATTGGAGCAGAGCCCTGACTCCAGGTCAACTGTCCCTCTGGAGCAGAGGCTACTGGGAGCAGGGGGGCTCTGGGGCACAGTCTTTGAAGTACTCATGGCAGTAGACACAGAGGCAGGCGAGCGAGCGCACGTACTCTATAAAGTCCACCTCGCAGTCCTTGTTGGTGTCCAGCACACTCATTAATTTATTGTAGTCACACTCCCGCAGCTCCGTCTGTGCAAAGGAAAGGCCAGGAGAGCAAGGTGAAGAGAGAGGAAGAGCTTCACACATTCCTTTTCCTTCCTCCCCTCCCAGATGGTCTCGCCTCATCCCACCCCACACCCCTTCCGAGGGCCTGTCTCAGCCTACCTGTAGCAATAATGCACCATCTTTTCAACGCCCTGCCCAATTCTCCATTTCACATCATTTTTTGAGCACCTACTATGTGCTATGCTGCTGAGTAGCTACCATGTGCCAGGCACCCCTCATTCTCTCATTCAAACCTCCCAACAACCCTGCAAGGCAGCAGATGTGATTATTCCGTTTTACAGATGAGGGAACTGAGTTCTGTGGCACGTAGGTCCCTCTCCTGTTAACTCCATGCAGTCTAACCTCCACTCCCCCGTCCTATGTTTATATTTGTTGTCAGGTCTCTCTTGCCCCTATGCTGAGTGTGCAAGGGGGGCGGGGGGTCTCTGAGGGGCTCACCGGGGTCCAGGAAGCCATCTCCTTCTCCAGCAGCTCCTTGAGCTCCGCCTGGCAGAGCTTGTGTTTGTCCCCAGAGATGCCTGCATAGCGCTGGAAGGTGAGTACGATGGCAGCCATCGCCTGCTCCAGGGGGCTGCACATTCTCACTGCCACAGAACAAGGGTGTGACCCACAGCAGAGCTCCACGCCAGCCTACCCTCCATAGTCCCCCCCAGATTGCCCCCAGGCCACTTTAATCTCCACCAAGCTTTGTGTCAGCAGCTACCCCACCTCTGAGCAGCCCTCCCTGGCCTCACCAAACCCCAAACCAAATCTACATCCATGGAGTAGATTCTGGCTCATAGCATCCCTACAGGACAGAGGAGAACTGGTTTCCGGAGCTATAAACCTTTACAGAAGCTGACTAACACTCTTGTCCGGAGGGGCAGCTGGTAGGCTTGATCAGCTGACCTTTCACTTAATAGCTAAGCCTTAACCGTTCCGCCATTAGGGCTCCTTCTGACCACACCAAACCAAAATCCCTCTGGTTGAGCCAATTCTCAATCTTGGTGACCTTCCATTCAGTCTCTGAGACTGAAAATCTCTCCATGGGGAGTCTGACCACATGGTCCCTCCTAATTCATCTCACTAATGCCTCTGAATGTCTGGATGTAAATCTCACTCCCTCCTTTCACTGAAAGCCTCTTAAGGACAGAGTGTCTGTCCCACCCTTTTACTCTCCCCTCATTGAGGGGCTCTCTAAGGACTTTCCATTCTCTCCCACTCTGTCGCAGTGCCCTGGGCCCAAAAAGGGCCCTGTTCCACTCTGTGCCATCCCGTGAGTTATAGCCCATGGCCCTAGACATCTCCTCCCTTGACCCCCAAGGTCCTTCCCTGCCAACTTGCACCAGAAGACCCTTGCCTAGCGCTACATTGTCCTCAGGTCCTTGGAGAAGCAGAGCAGTAGAGTCACGTCTGAGAGGACCCCTTCTGCCTTCCCACCCCTCCTCCCTGAATTGAGAGATGCTGTGATGAAGGGGAAGCTACACTTCTCCATGCCTCTCCCTGAGTGTGATAATATATCTCAGATGCCTTAATTGTAAAATGAGATTAATCCTGCTCAGTAACCCAGAGGGCCATCTCCAGCATGAATCACCCTGGCCTGCCCACTCTGAGGCTCTCTTCCCTGACTCAGGAGTCTTGAGACAGAAGACCATGCTCAGTTAGAAGAGAAGACCTTCCTGGACTTTCCCACCGTCCCTCGGCTCTGGCTCTCTGCTCCCTCCATACTCCTGGGAGGAGGACTCCAGCCCAGAGAAACCGTGAGACAACAGGAAGATGAGAGCTGTTTCCACGTGAGCCTAGTGACTCACACCCAGCTCCCCCGGGAGTCCTGCAAAGCAGAGCAGCAAGGCACGTCAGATCGCCTCACCCTAATGTCCCCCTCAGCAAGGCCCATTCAAAAAAGGCTAGAGAGGAGAGGAGGCAAGGATGCCCCCAAAACTAGCTGGGTTCTGACTTTGGCAGCTCGTGTATAAAGCAGGTCATCCAGAAACCCTGGAGAGAACAGGCCATGATCTTAGGGACTAAGGGAACCTGGGATGTTCAGCAATGCCCTCCTGGGCTTCCCTCAGCCTGCCTGGCGCCAACTTCAGCACTGTTCCAGAAGCTGGCTGCCCAGAGACAGGTTGGGAATCCTTGGTTCTTGCGCAGGCCTGGCCTGTCTCAACTCGTCCCCAGGAGTGAAGCAAAGAAGCGAAAAGGAGGGAGCGGGAGCTGAGATTAACACCACATTCCTAGCCCAGTGCCCACACCCCCGGAGCCAAACCACAACTGTACACACTTCTAGCTCAAGAACTTCCCAACAGACAACCCCTCACTGCCCAAAGAAAGTCCCCCCCCCCAGTAAGTCTACCATGTCCGGCTGCCCTCACACCATCAGTCTCTGCTGTGGTCATCCTCCTGCCCCATGTCCAGACCTTGAGCCAGGGGACAGACAGGCTACCAGAACCCCAGCACGGGAACCAGGACAGGACCACGGAGCTGACACTCACCACTGGACTGGCGTTTCAGCTATAGGAGTCCAAAGACTGTCCATCCCTATTTGTAGCCTCCCAAGGGAGCAAGGGGATAATTATGGGGGTGCCCAACTAGGTCAGCACTAGCGATGCCCCAGGGACTCCTTGCCGCCTTTCTCAGCAGCCTCTTTACAGCCCACCCACCTGTCCACGCATACATCAAAGGACCGGCTGAGGCCTCGGACACCACCCTCACTTGTTCCCTCTCTGTCCTCCCCCAGAGTCAGTAGCTGGGTGCAGCCTCCTGACCGTTTCCTTCAAATGTGGTTTGGAAGTCATGACTTGGGGTGATACATCCCCCTAGTCCTCAGCTTGGAGGAAGCGCCTCCAGAATGCTGAATGAGGACACACTTTAGAGAACCCCCTTACCGGACCTTCAGAAGGTTGAGCCCTCTCACAACTGAGAAAGCTGAGGCCTGTGAGACACCCTCCCTGCCTAATCCCTGCGTGTTCTTCAGAGTTTAGTCTTATTGTCTGTGAATGGTTCATTTCCCAGAAAAACTGTCTGTGTGATCTTGAGGCATAGGACGAAGATGTTCTCTTCCTGGGACCTCTCTAGAAGCGTGAGCTTGAGTTTCTTGTCATCTCTCACCCACCCGATCCCCACAAGCCACACAAATTAATCCCTTCATTTCTGCATGTTCTTGGGGACTATTTTCTTTCCTCCCCTGCTCTGTTAGGCACCAAGGCAACTTGCTTTGCAATCCTGGGGTGGGGGGGGTGTCAAATCCCATGGGGGTCAATCCATGGGGTTGGGTGGAGTTTCCTCTGACTTTGGGCTTAAATGTCTAGCCCTTGGGAATCCCAGCATGGTAGGGCATCTCCCACGTGTCTCTCCTCCCCGGGGAGCCCGAAGCTCACTCCGCTTTGAGAATTTTCAAAGCTGAAGGTCAGGTGCCCCTGTTTGGTCACATCCTGGGTTTGGCTTCCCCTTTGGGTTGTGGCCAACTCATTCCTTACCACCTTGTCAGTATGTCAGTGCTTCAGATAAGACTTTTGAAATTCATTCTGGCACTTTTAGTAGGTTTTAGCTGTTAGTTATTTCAAGAAATGAAAATCTTTTGCTATTGCTTCTCTGTTTTCTCCCCTACCTCTAAGCCTGAGAGGTTCCATTTCACAGAAAGAGAATACAAGACCCAGAAAGGGGGAGGGGAGAGAGGAATGGGCCCCAGACCTCTGAAGAATCCCTTCATGAGATCTTGCCCTCGGCCCCCAGCACCCAAAGCTTGTCTGGTCCATCATCTGCTGGAAGACAGCCCCGTGTGAGTGATGGGAGCGAGCCATGGAGGAAGTGAGAAGGCTGAGAAAGCTGTGATTAGCCCTGGTTTATAAGCAACGCATTACGGGGAGTGGGGAGTGCAGAGAACAAAGGACGGTCACACAGCAGAAATAGCTAACAGCCCAGACCAGCAATTAATTCAGATCTAGGTCAAGCTTTTAGTCCTGCCGATGACATCCCAGCTTTGCCCCAGTCATCTCTCTTAAGCAGGTCACATCACTCTCTGGGCCTCCTTTTCCTTATCTGTCAATGACGGAAGGTAATAATATCAAGTACTTCATAGAATTGCTATGGAACTTAAATTGTATTTGTACAGTTAAAGCTCGTAGAATAAATAGTGCCCAGCATACAGCCAAGACTCAACAAACTCTGAGAGGTTGATAAACTTGCCCAAGGTCACATAAGTAAGAGACAGGCTTTAAATCCATTCTTTATTCTTATAACTATTTAGAGGTACCCCAAATAGGCATGCAGGAGCTCTGGTGGAGTGGTGGTAAGGAGTTGCTCTGCAATACCAAAGGCACGTGGTGCGAGCCCCCACAATGCTCCGCAGGAAAAGGATGGGCCTTCTCCTCCCATGCAAGTAACTGCCTCTGAAAAACCACTGGAGGATCAGCTATGTGTTGATTCCAACTGAGGGCAAATCACAACAACAATAATAGGCATTAAGAAGCCCTAACATTACTTACAACCAGGAGAAGATAAAGTAAATGATCGGGATCTTCTAAAAATCAAATCCCTATGCACATCCAAAAACTTCTCCAACAGGGTAAAAAGGGAAGCCACAGACTAGGAAAAAGTATTTGCTAATGACATATCAGATAAGGGACTTATATCCAGAATTTATAAAATACTTGAGCACCACAACAAGATAAAGGTAAATAACCCAAAAGAAAAATGGGCACAAGATATGAACAGACACTTCACCAAATGAGACATTCAGATGGCTAAAGCACATGAAGAAATGTTCAAAATCCCTAGCTCTAAGAGAGACGCAAATCAAAACAACTATGAGATATCATCTCATCCCAGTCAGAACAGCAAAAGTTAACAGAACAGCAAGCAATAAATGCTGGCGAGGTTGTGGAGAAACTGGAACCCTTATTCACTGTTGGTGGGAGTGCAAAATGGTGCAACCACTATGGAAGGCGGTACGGCACTTTCTCAAAAAGTTACAAATAGTGATAGCATTTGACCCAGCAATTCCACTACTGGGAATATACCCCAAAGAGACCATAACTGACATCCAAGCAGATATATGCACACCCATGTTTATCGTGGCTTTGTTCACAATAGCAAAGAGTTGGAAACAACCTAAGTGTCCATCAACAAACAAGTGGATAGAGAAGCAAGCTGTGGTATATTCACACAATGGAATACTATGCTGCATGGAAAAGCAAGGAACTCATGCAATATTATTCAAAATGGGTAAACCTGGAGGACATTATGTTGAGTGAAGTATCTCAGTCACAAAAGGACAAATACTGCATGCTGCCACTGTTGTAAAACAGGACTGACGTTGGGGTTGGGAGAGACTGAGAAAGATGGGTTCAATAATGTATACTACATTGAAACAGATGAGGGAGAAAACTGTTTAAAAGGGATATGTGATTAGGTATTTTTGTCATGACAGGAGTCTAGAGTGAAGGCTACATGGTGGAGTGGACCTGGGGGAGGGTTTGTAAAACAGTGAAATAATTTTTCTTTTACTTTTCCAAGAGGGTAGTGTACTAGGGAGGAGGCTTGGGGGTGGAGAAAAGTGCAACAATGAATGAATGGAAATCCAAAGTCTCTGTAAATTTTTAC